GCATATTGTATACCTAAGATGTACCAATAAAATGAATGAATGAATGAAAAAAAAGTGATCAAAAAATTCTTTGTATTGTCAGTGCATTTATTTTGCCACTAGATGGCACTAGTGTAGCTTTGAGCACTGTCTCCTCTGAGTTTTCAGAATATGGTAAGTCTGAAGAGTTGAAGTTGTAGCCTAGCCCACCTCCATCAATTAATACTTGGGAGACTGAGACTCAGAGGTTAACTGGCAAGGTCGAAGTCATGCAGTTACTTAGGACCTCTTGAGTACCTGGCCTCACTAAGTTGTCTGTGCTATCCTTGAACTCATAATCCTCCTACCTAAACCTCCCAGAGTGCTGGGATTGCAGGCATGCACAGCTGCACCTAGATGTCTACCAGATTTTAAAGATCATTGCCTACTTGTCCCAAGCTTGCCTTCCTGATTTGCCCTGGAAGTGAGTGCTGTAGAAATTTCAGACAGAGCCTTTCTGTCAAACAGTTATCTTGCTCCATTTACCCAATTCTTTTTGATGAGATCTTCCTCTCAGCTCTTCTCTTCCTTTTGCTGCTGCTTCTTTGTCCACCTGCATAGCTCAGTCAAGGGAGCCTGTGGGGGTAAAGAGGTGTGCTTCTGGTTCTTAAAAAGTCCATCTATTGGGTGTTCCTAGCATATGGTATCTGCACTATTTTTCCCTTCTCTTTTTATCTGTGACAAAGATAGTATCACCGTAAGTTATGGCTTGTGTGGGGGCAGGATGGTGTGGTGGGAGGCATTTTGACCAAGTGGAGATGTTTGGAGTCACACTTAGGGGGTCAGATCTCTCCTCACATCTTTCTAATAAAGGTGACATTAATGACCTTGCAGAGTTTTCCTGAGGAATACAGGAGGTAATGTGTAGAAGACTCATGGCATCAGCGCTTGGTGCACAGATAGATGCTCACTGAGTGCTGATTATTTTGGTTGCTGTTGTATAGAGAGAGGAGCAACAGTGCTTGTAGTATATGAAAGCTGGGAGCTCATGGGAAGGTCTCAGCCAGAGGAGCCCTTACTTGAGAAAGAAGGGAAGGATGTAAAGTATTCTAGGGTTTCCATGCCTATCTCAGGGTAATAATGTAGAACAGTGCTGCCCAATACAGTGGGCACTGGGCACTGGAAGTGTTGCTTTAACACACTCCCGATGGGGCTGTAATTCATATGTCTCACTGCCTGGCAGCTGTTGCACTGGTGGAGGGTCCATTGGGCACCGTGGGACAGTCTCATCAGATCATACAAGCCCCCGATGGGACAGCTGTGCATGTACCACTGAGAGTTCAAGCCAATGGGAATGTGTTAAGTATTGGATACACATCAGAGTTTAAGGACTTTGTATGAAAAAGATGAATATAAAATATCTCAGTGATTTTGTATATTAATATCATGTTGAAATATTCTCATTTTCGAGTATGCAAAATTAAATATTATTAAAATAAATTTTACCCATTTCCTTTTGCTTTTTTAAAAAATATAGCTACCGGAACATGTAATGAGGGCAGCATTCTGTTTCTCTCTGTTTGCTCTAGGTTAGGTGCTAAAGATCTTGGTATTCAGGCAATTCACCTTGACTTTGAGGGCTGTGTGAGAGTTTTTTGAGGCTTCTTTTGAATTTTTCTTTTTAATGATGCCCTAGTCTGAAGAGTATGATCTTTCTGAACCAAGATGCCAGTCATTATCGGTAATTATAGTTTAAATAATAGTTTTAAATGAAAAAGGCATCAAATATTCTCCTTAGTCCTCAAATTCTGAAGGCTTCAGTTGAGAAACAAGAGGGATGAATAATTTAATGGGTCAGCTATGAGCAATTAGAAGATCCTAGAGTACTGAAAAAGAGCCTTGCATGATTTCAGAGAATAGAATGTGTGGAGGGGTTGTCATAAATATATGTTATCAAAAATAGTTAATTGATCTTAGGCTTTTCCTGCGATGCAAATTATTAATACAACTACTAAAATAAGCAAGAGTAAAAAGAAAAGAGAACCATAGTAGTATTTTGTGTTAGATAAGTCATAAGTACGATTTTCATTAAATTTATTTTGGTTTGAAGATTCAATTACAAAATATTAACTGGTTTTTAAAACTTAAAAGCAAGTAAATTTCATTTCCAGTCTCTTAGAGCTGTATGGTAATTGTTAATTTTAAATCTTTGTAACTTTTGTAAATCTTTTTAGGTAGATTGAAAAATAAAGTTCCTTATTTAGATTTTGATTTTACCCTGGATTTTATAGCACACGGGAAAGAGTATTTGTTCTTTGCTATTGTAGAAAGCAAGCAAGGGGCATGCATTTTGAGAACCTTGAGGACAGTTCTATTCCTAATTCAGTCCCTGAATGAAATATTCTTCATTCCTGCTAACATTACTGCTGTAATTCATCATAGCTAAGATGCTATCAATTGTAGGGGGCACCTTTATTTTAAGTGCCACTCTCTTTATAAAAAACTGCTGCTCTTGAAACTCTGGACAAGATGTGTCTCTATTTCAGATATGTTACATGGTGGAAAAATAATGTACCTTAGAATTGATGAAATGTAACACAGGCTTTGAAATTTTAAACTTGGTTGGAAGTTAGAGGGCTTGTATTATGTATTTTATAAGTTAGAATCAGCCTTCAGGTCTTCTCAAAGTACCTCAGGTTCAGTGAGTGCACTTTGGTGCATTGAAGCCTTTTCATTTCATTCTATAAATAACCACATGAAAGCCGAGCAGTGAGGTTGGTTTTAAGTTGAAGTGCCATAATTCAGACAAGTGAACTTTTAGTTTCAACCTAGTCTTCTGCTTCCTCCCAGACTCACACCACCCTCTTTTCAGGCATTACCTACACCTCAAACAAAATCTGTTCTCCATAAAGGCTCTTGATAATGGTTATTTATGGCTGCTTGTGAATTGATGGCAAAGTGTTAAATTGCCCAAGGATGTTTGCTTTCTAAGCCTTATCTCTAACTGCTGCTGAAAATCTTCATCTGCTCAAGGAACTTTCAGCCCTCAGCATGCCAAATGGAAGGGTTGAGGGAAGAGGGGGCTGTAGAAGCAGTCTCCTTCTTTGCCTCTGAGGAAGTTGGGGACAGATAATAGCTACCTCATATCTTTTCCCACTAAAGTGTTTCCCACCTTTCTGCTTTTGTTCATATTTGTCCGTAGGTCACTAAGAAGATAGACTTCCCAGTCCTGTAGGCACACTTGTAGTCCCAGTACTTGGGAGTCCAAGGCAGGAGGATCACTATGAGTTCGAGGCCAGTCTGGACTACACATTGAGTTAAGGCTAGCCTGAACTACACAGTACTACATAGTGAGACCCTGCTTTAAAAAAAAAAAAAGATAGACTTCTGTATACTGCTGTATCTGCTGCTGGCTGCGTTGTCTATGTCTGAAACAAGCAACTCATAATATTTGAATTTATGACTAGTTTCATTGAATTTTTTCAGTTTTATCTCCCTTTTGATAGGGGCTATTGAATTTTAAGGAAACCCTGTGTTGTAAAAAAAACTTCTTTTGTAATTTGAATAGCTACTTCCTATTTTACCTATTTTTCTAAATATTAGTGTTCCCAAATTTTATTGACTTAAGTCAGGCTTTACATTTTGTATGACTATTTGGTAACCCAGATTCTGAGCCATTGTTTTCAGGCATGCCTTTGCAGATATATACTAGGGTGAATTCGTGGTTAAACTGCAGAAGTTATTTGTGGCCTAATTAAAGATAAAAGCAGAAATTTGTCCTTTTAAGTTTGTGAGACTTTCATCAGTTGTGAATCTGCTGATGCTTTGTATACTGTTTTTATGTAGCAGATGATCAATAAAAAATATTTGATTAATCTGAGGTTTATAATGTCAGATTCTAATATGAAGGCTTATAATCAAAGCTTTCCATTGCATTTAAGGAATTTGGTCTTTCTCAACGAAAGAGCAATGATATTGTACATGCTTTCAGAGTTATATTAGTTTTGAAAATTAGGTAAGAAATTTATCTCCATTGCTAGTTTTCATACATTTAACTAAATGTAAGGCAAATCTTTACAAAGTATGACTGAAGAATACAGTGTTTAAGTTTTTAAAATTTATTGTAGTAAAAGACACATTGGCATTACTTACCCTCAAAATACTAGCCCCATTTTTGTACACACTTAAACTATTATTCTTGTCACTTTCTTTTTTTTTATTCATTAAATTTATTAGTACATTTTAGGTAGACGTTAGGAACACATTCATCATTGGGAATTTGTACCTGTACATGACATATCTTGGTTCTTATTTTTTCCCTTCCCTCCATTTTGTTACTTTCTAAGGCAGTCCTCTTTCATGATTGTTAGTTGCACCGTCCTGGCTGCCTTGATGTCCTGAATTGATTCAAAACATTTACCTTTCCTTGATCTTTTGACTTTGGGGACAAGCTAGAAGTCGTGTGTTTGCTAGATTTTTGAATAAGGTAAATGAGCGCACACTATAATGGACAATATTCAGTCTCAGCATTCACCATATTTTGATCACATTTCATAAAGATACTCATGAGAGAGAACTTCCAGAACTTCTTCAGAAAAGTGGCAAGCACAGTAGGATGTGTGTTTGAAGTGACGGGTGTTATTTGAGAATTAATGATAAATATGTCTTTTATAAATTTTTTTTTTTTGTACCAAGAATCAAACTGAGGACCTTGGGCTTACCAGGCAGCCGCGGTGCCACTGAGCTAAATCCCCAGCCTCATACTAAATCCCATACTAAATTTTTTTTTTTTTTTTTGTACCGGGGATCGAACTTGGGTCCTTGCGCTTTTGCAGCAGGCAGCGAAACCACTGAGCTAAATCCCCGGCCCCATACTAAATATTTTTAAAGCTTAAACATTCAATATAGTTTCTATTACACCTTGTAGAGCTCCAAATTCTTTATAGTGGTATGTTTGTTGATAATATCTTAAATAATTTCAGATTGTATCCTGTAAATTTATGTCTGTATGTTTGAATGACTTTGACTTCTGCTTTTTGCAGCTTGGAGTGTGGTTTTCTCTAGGCTGTGCCTATTTGGCCTTGGAAGATTATGGAGGCTCAGCAAAGGCATTTCAGCGTTGTGTGACCCTAGAACCTGATGTAAGTGTACTTGGCCATCCTTCTGTTTCAGCTCCTTAAGATTCTCTTAAGTTAGGTGCATTGTTATGTATAGTTCAGAGCAGCAGTTCCTTTTGTGGTGGAAGAAAATGTACATTTGATGGAAGGTCATATTTCAAGGCATAGGATTTATAAGTCTGGAAATAAGTTTTCCTCATAATAGCTATGGTTACATTTAGAAAATAATTTTGGTAAAACATTTTAGTTAAAAATATATATTGAATGATACAGCAATGTCATGTATATTTTTCCACTTATTAACATATGCTCCCTATGTTAATTGTGTTACTGAAAGGTTTTAGTGTGGCATCTCTTTTATTTAACAGCTTTATTGAGGTAGTAATTCATATATTGTTTATCCATTTAAAATGTATAACTGAGTGATTTTTCAGTTGTGAATTTTATAAATTTTCATTGCCCTATGAAGAAACTCTGGTACCTACCAGCAGTCATTCCTCATTTCCCTTTAAACACCTTCTCTCTCTCTCTCTAGTCCTAGGCAACCATTAATACACATTCTGTCTCTATAGATTTGCCTATTTTGCACATTTCATATAAATAGACTTGTACAATAATTGGGACTTTATGCCTGGCTTCTTTTACATAGATTGTTTTTAAGGTTCATCAATGTTGTAGCATGTATTAGTACTTCATTATTTTTTATTGACAAATAATATTTCATTTTATGGGTACATCACATTTATCCATTTATCAGTTGATAAACATTTGGATTATTTCTGTTTTTTGACTGTTATGAAGCCTATTGCTATTAACGTTCAGTTACAAGTCGTTGATGGACCTATGTTTCCATTTCTCTTGAGTATATACCTAATTAGGTCTTTTTGTTAAGTTGTAAGAGTTCAAGTCCTTTGTAACTTGGAAATATTTTCTTCTTTGGGTGTTTTTTTTCTCTCTCAGTAGTGTCCTTTGAAACACAAAAAGTTTGTGTTTTTAAAAAAATGTTTCTGGGGATTTAGCTCAGTGGTTCCACTGCCTGCCTCACAAGCACAAGGTCCCGAGTTTGATCTCTGGTACCAAAAAACAAACAAATAAAAAAATGTTGATGATATCTAGCTCTTCAGTCTTTTTCTATTTCTTATATGTTTATTGTCATATTGAAGAGTCCACTATGAAGATTTACCCTTACCTTTTCTTTTAAGAGTTTTATAGTTTTAGCTCTTTTTTTTTTGGTACCAGGGATTGAACTCAGGACCTTGCACTTGCAAGGCAGGTGCCGGAACCACTGAGCTAAATCCCCGGCCCAGTTTTAGCTCTTGCATGTAGGTCTAGGGACCATTTTAAGTTAATTTTTTGTGTATGGTGTAAGGTACAGTTTCATTCCTTTACATGTGCATATACAGTTTTCCGAGAATCATTTGTTAAAAAGACTATTCTTTTCCCATTGAATGGTGTTGTGCTCTGGTTTAAAAAAAAAAAAAAATCAGTTGACTGTAAATGTAAGAGTTTAATTATGGATTATCAGTTATTTTTTACCAACTATATGTCTATCCATGCCAGTATCACTTTCTTATTTCCTGAAGCTTTGTGGTAACTTTTGAAAATGCCAAATGTAAATACTCTTTGTTCTTTTTTCAAGATTGTTTGGGCTATTCAGGGTTCCTTGAATTTTCATATGGAATTTTAACTGTCAGTTTCTGTGTTGGTCTACATTGACTCTGTAGACCACTATAGAGAGTATTGCCACCTTAATACTAAATCTTCTAATCCAGGAATGTGGAATGTCTTTCCATTTATTCTTCAGAATATAAGTGTTACACTTCTTCTGTTAAATTATTCTTAAGTATTTTCTTCTTTTTAATGCTGTTATAAATGGAATGGTTTCACATTTTTATTTTTGGATTGGTCGTTACTATAGAAACACATTTGAATTTTATATGTTAGTCTTGTATCCTGCAACCTTGTTGAACTCATTTTGTAGTTCTATTTTTTTCTTTAGTGGATTCCTTTAGATTTTCTCTGTAAAAGATCATGTTATCTAGAAATAGAAATAGGTTTGCTTGTTCCTTCCAATCCAGGTGCCTTACATTTTCTTGCCCAATTGATCTGACTAGCCCTTCTTATAGAATATTATAAATGATGAAAGCAGTCATCTTTATCTTCTTTCTTATCTTTGCAGGAGAGCTTTCAGTTTTTCACCACTAAGTAATTATAATGTTAGCTGTGGGTTTTTTTGTATATGCCCTAAATATTCCCAGGAAGAAACTTTCTATTTCTAGATTGTCGAATATTTTTGTCATGTTGGATTTTTGTCAAATGCTTTTGCTGTGTCGGTTGAGATGATTACATGGCTTCCTTTTCTTAGTTTGGCAACACAATATATTACATGGGTTGATTTTAGATGTTGAACCAATCTTTGTTGTTGTTGTTGTTGCTGTAGTTGTTGAACAAATCTTGCATTCCTGGGATAAATTCCATTTGGTCATTATATATAATCCTTTTAATAGCTTGCTGGATTTGCTTTGCTAGTATTTCATAGACGATTTTTGTGTCTATATTTTACAAAGAATGTTGATCCATAGTTTTCTTTTTTATGATGTTTTGGTTGGTTTTGGTATTACAGTATGTCTTAGTCTCTTTCTTAGTCGCTGGGACGAATTTCTGACACCTGCAAGCTTAAAGGAGGAGAGGTTTATTTTGGCTCACAGTTTGAAGATGTTTCAATTCGTAGTTGGCTGGCCCAAGGCAGCACAGCATGGTGCAAGGGCCCAACAGAGAACTAACTGCTCTCAGAATGGGCGTGGCATCCGGGAAGCTGAGAGACCAAGGGAGAAACCAAACTGGGGAGGGGGTTAATCCTTTCCAGGCCACTCCCGCAGTGACTGGCCCCTTTCAACTGGTACCCCACCTCATAATAACAAGTCACCTATAAGCCTCCATAATCCAGTCACCTTCTAAAAGCTCCACCTATTATGCACATGAGACTTTGTGGGAGGGGCATCTCCAGATAAACCACAACAGAAAAATACTGGCTTTATAGAATAAGTTAGAAGTTCTATCTCCTATTTTTTGGAAGAGTTTGTGAGGATTGGTGTTAATTCATCTTTGAGCATTTTGTAAAATTCACCAGTGAACCCTTCCGCTCCTGGGGTTTTTTGTGAAGGTGTTGATTATTAACTCAATTTCTTGTTACAGGTCTATTCAGATGTTGTTTCCTAAAGAGTCATCTTGATACTTTGCATCTTTCTAGGAATGTGTCCATTTTATCTAGGTTATGTAATTTGTTGGCATAGAATTATTTGTAGTATTTTCTTATAATCCTTTTTGTTTCTCTTAGCTTGATAGCAATGACCCTTTTTCATCCTTGATTTTAGTAATTTAAATTTTTTCTCTTTTCCTCTTGGTTAGTGTAAAAGTTTGCCAACTTAACTAACTTTTGTTTTCATTAAATTTCTATATTTTAATAGTCTCTATTTCCTCACTTTCTGCTCTAATCTTTATTATTTCTTTCTTTCTCTCTTTTTTTCTTTTACTTTTTTCCCTCTCAGTGTACAGATTGAACCTGGGGCCTCAAAAGTGCTAGACAAGCCCGCTGTGACTGAACTATATCCCCAGCCCTAATATTTATTTCATTTCTTGTATTGACACCAATATTCTACCAAAATTGCTTTCCATGGAAATTATGAACAGAAAGTAGCGATTATGGTGGTAGATCTTTATTTAAGGTGTTAAATACCAATCATGTTCTACTTTATGTTTTCCAATTTCTTTTTTTTGTTTGTTTTTGTTTTCCAACTTCTTGATCACATTTTTTTTTATATGCATGTAAACTACTGCAGTTAGCTTTCATAAATGACTGAATTACTAACATAGCTTCTTTGGGGCTAAAAAAAGGTTGATGAACACACTATTAACAGGCATTTACTTAATGGATGCTTCAATTTTTGGAATCTAGTTTTCATCTCAAATGCAGATCAAATTATCTGAATACTTGAAATGGAATTTCAATATTTTTTCCTTTTTCATCCTGTAAATACAGGTGCATCTATATCTGTTCTTTATCCCTACATATATTTTTTTTGTTTTTTGTTTTTTTGTTTTTTTTGAGGAGCCCTGGCACTATGTTACCTAGGCTGAACTCAAGCCATCTGAGTGCTGGGACTACAGGCACGTGCCACCATGCTGGGCACACGTGCAATATAATTAATTTTTTTTTTTTGGTACCGGGGATTGAACTCGGAACCTTGCACTTGTGAGGCAGGTGGCGGAACCACTGAGCTAAATCCCCGGCCCAGTATAATTTTAATGTAATATAAATCTCAGATGAACAGTTTGGTCAGTTTTGATAAATTCATACTGTTGTATAACTCATACCCCTTTTAAAATGTCATTCCAGTCATTCCAGAGAGCTCCTTCCTGTCCTACCTGCCATCACTGTGAACTCCCTTACCCTTGTGTTTCTTAGCAACTACTATTCTTCTTTTTTTTTTCCTTTTTTATTTGTTTTTTGATACCGGGGATTGAACTCAGGACCTTGCACTTGTGAGGTAGGTGGTGGCACCACTGAGCTAAATCCCCAGCTCAGCAACTACTATTCTTAATTTTTTCTGTTTACATTACCTCTGCCTTTTCTGTATCTATGTATAAGCAGACTTATAGGCTATGAACTTTTTTTTTCTGGTATCTTTTACTTGTTAAATATTTCACATTTTCGTGTGTCATTAGTTGTAGTAGCCTTTCATTTCTTTTTATTGAGGTATGGTATTACATTATATGAATATACCTAATACCTCGTCTTGTTATTGGATTGTTGGATTATTTCCACCTGTCATTCTAATACAAATGTTTTTGTGAGCACAGGTCTTCATTTTTCTTAAACAAAAACTTGAAAGTGAAATTGCTAGATCATGTTTCTGATGCTATTATGTTATTGTTTTAAACATTATTTTCTAGTTTTACACCAAAAGAATAAGAAAAAGTTGACTTTTGTGTATTAACTTTGTATTCTTTGGTTACATTTTTCTCCCTCTGTGCATTAAATTTTTGTGTTTAAGTTTTCCTGTTTTATCTTAGTTTTTCAGCGATTTAATTATGTAGCTTGGTGTAGTTTTCTTTGTACATTTTCTTCTTGAGGGTTGGTGAACTTTTTAGATTTATGGGCTTAAAGTTTCATCAGATTGGGAAAAAATTTGGCCATTATTTCTTCAGATTTCTTTGTGTGTGTGGTTTCTATGCTGGGGATTAAACCCAGGACTTCATACATATTAGGCTCTCAAGCACTCTACCACTGAACCACACCCCTTCCTCTTTTTCTCCTTCTTTTTTCGTACTCTGCTTTCAAGTACTTATATCTGTTATTTTGCCCAGTAGGTCCTTGAAGCTCTATTTATTTTTTTTCCTGTGCTTTGGTTTTGTTCTGTGATATACTTTCTGTTGCAATGTCTTCCAATTCAGAGATGTTCTCTCTTCTGCATTGTCTAACATGCCATTACACCTATTCATTAGGTTTGTTTCAGATAATAGAATTTTCAGTTCAAGAATTTTCTTTTTAACAGTTTCATGTCTCTACTAAGACTTCCCAATCAGTCTCTCGTTGTGTTTGTGTTTTCTTTTAACTCTTTGAACATAATCTATATAATATAGTAAAGTCCTTGTATGCTTATTCCAACATCTCTTTAATTTCCAGGACTGTTTCCATTAACCGATATTTCCTTTGGTTAAGGATGAAAATTTCCTGCTTCTTTGCATAGTCATCATTAACTTTATTGTATCCTATGTATTGTAGATGCTGTGTTGGTGACTTTCTGGACTTTTTTCTTCTCTTCAGAAGGTTTTTATTTTAAAATTTTAATTGGATCATCTTGGTTTAAACATTGTTAGGATAAGCCTAAACTTGGCATTTTTCTTAGAAAAATCCTTCTCTTAAGGTATAACCTTTCTGGGGTTAAATTTAATGCCATGAATAATCAAAAAGAACTCTCTAATCTGGTTGGAACTTGAATAACTCCTGTGTAGCTTCCAGATTTTCATTCAGCTCCCAGATCTCTGGTGGTTGTTCTCTGTCAGACTCAAGAAGTTTTGTCTTGCATGTGGATGACAGTATTCAGCCAAGGACTCTGGGGATGTTTATTGAAATTTCTAGAGCTCATTTTTGAAGCGCATATTTCTCTTCTGTGGTATTTTGCTCTGCAAATTCCAGCTGCCTTTTTGACCCTGAACACTGATTTTTTTCTTCATCTCAGTAAGACTTGCTGTGCTTTGTTTGGTTTTTGCCTCTCTGTGCTGCAGTCCTGAAAGTGCCTCTAAACAGAAGGCTAGGTTGGTTGTTGAGACACCTTAATTTTCCCCTCCCTTCCAGGATCATACTCCTGTGCTGCCTGTTGTCCAACTTTTCCAAAATAGTTGCTTCCTATATTTTGTCTAATTTGTAGCTTTGTATGGTGAGAGAGCTACTCTGGTACTGTACTAACTTTGTCTTGTCTGGAAGAGGAGATTTAGTACCGCTTAATTTTTTGAATCATAGATATGGAACTTGTATATTGTATATTTTATTTTGAAAGTGGGAAAAAGAACAAATGTAATCCATATCATTCTTGTTGACATCAACATTTTTCTAAAAACTTTATTTTTGTATTGTGTATAGGAATAGGTAGAGAAATGTATTTGGTTAATGATAAACTAGTAACATTGGAGAACACTCTTCAGTCTTACTCTATCTGATGAAGAAAGATGATAGTAAAAGGCAAAAGCCTTTTAAAATACAAAAACCAATGTTCTACATTCCTTGGCTTTGTAATAAATCTATATGCTCTATGAATTATCTTGTAAAATTTCCAACTATTTTGTAAATCTTAATTTGAAAATAAAATCTTAGCAATTTCCAAATCAGTGCTATAATAGTATAATAATATAATAGTATAATAATATCATTGCTTGACAAGTTTTTGAAATTTTTATAAATTATAAAAGTACATTTTGGTTTAATTTTATATATTTTGCTTTTAAACATACCTTATTGAAAATTGAGATTTAAAAGAGTGTATATTATATTTTTATATTTTTGGATTCAATAAGTATTTCCTAAGTGAGAATATTCTACAGCTGGATTCTCTATCATTTCAGAATGCTGAAGCTTGGAACAATTTATCAACTTCCTATATCCGATTAAAACAAAAGTAAGTGCATCAGACAAATATGAAGAACTGTGCTTCCAAAATTAATGAATGATTATTTTCTCCAATTGAATATTGAGGCCTTATATTTTATTCTATCTTTTCCCCCTTTTCACCCTTACGTGAGTTATAACTTACTAGAGAATTCTAAATGTGTAACTTATTTCCTAGAAACATTTAATATGTAATAAAATAAAAAATATTACTTGAAATCTTTATTTGGTGTTCAGGTTTCACATACTAAATTTCATTACATGATAAAAGGAATTATGCTTTTGGTCAACTCAATTAATAGATTTTTATTGCTTGCTTTGTACTAGACATGAAAATTTTTAAATAAATATGAATCAGTATATTTAGGAATTATAGGTTAAAAATAAAATACTATGTCATATTATTTTAAAAATTGATTAACAGTAAAGCTATATGTGATGAGTATCAAATGAGAATACAAAGGGGGCCGCAATAATAGTAGATGATATTTGTAGAGCACTTATTATGTGTCAGGCACGCATTTAGACCTGTGAGGGTCTCAGAAGAGAAGGAGGTATGTGATCCTGGTTCAGAAATACTTATGTTGTACCCAAGCTAAGTTTGAAGGATGGGAATGGAGGACAAAGGAAAGTCTTTAGGCAAGGGAAACAATGAGACCAAATCTAGAGTGACAGAAATGAATGAATTATTTTAGAAGATGGGGGTAATATTGTCCAGCTATAGTGTAATGTGAGCTCTGTGGTGAGAGATGATTGGAAAGGTAAGTTTGGGGCGAATTGCTATGTGTTCTGATTTTTGAACAAATGGAGATCATCTTGTTGGTAATAGAAAGCCAGAGATTTTGGTGGGGTAATTCATGAAGAAAGAAGATTTTTAGGAAGATTTATCTGGTAGCAGTGTGTTAGACAAACTAGAGAGGAAACTGGAGGCCGGGAAAACAGTTAAGAGACAGCTGTTGTAACAATCCAGGCATGAGATAACTAAAGTGGAAAAAGAAAGGGCAGATGCCAAACAGTTTATAAAGGGGACAACTGACTGGCTTATTGACTGGCTACAAAAAGCAGGGGAAAGAGAAGAGGCAATTGCTATTGCCAGAGTTTTAATATGTTAATTAAAGGATAGATATATTTCTGTTTTTATTTGACCTTAATTTCAAATTTAATTTAATTTTCTTTGTGGAATCACAAGATATTTGTGAAGATCATGAAATACTTCCTTTGCTCTTGGATGATAATCTATATAAATAGAGTACTGTTTGTTCTAGAGTTTCCTCAGAAAATAATATTATGTTTTTGATAGCAACTGATAATATTAAATCCACTGGAGACCTCTGGTTTAAAGGAGTGGGTAGGAGAAATCCTTGTCATAGTTGTAGAGTGATTTCAATGAGTTTTTCTAGTTACTGAGATAATTTTGTATGTAGTAAGGCTCTTGATATGCTCTATTTTATCTTCTAGACCACTAATCTTTGGAATTCTGTATAGATAATTCTTGCATATTGTTCTTTAACCTTTTCTTAATACTTTCTTGCCTTTCTGCTCCTTCATGAACACATTTTTGTGTAAAATTAGAGTTGCAAGATCAGAGGTAAATCATTACATTATTCTAGCCTTTTATTCTTTCTTTTCTTTGCTACTGCTCCAAACAGCTAATTTTTGGCTCCTGAAATTGTTAGTTCAGAGAAAAAATTTTATCACTGCTCCTCTCAAAACAATCATATACATGCCCTAAAGTGGCCTATTTAACTTTTGTTATCACAGGATTCTTCACTGAAGTGCTCTTTTCATTGTTACTTCTTATTTCCCCAGGCGTCATGTCCCTACTAGTCCCTTGGGAAAGTTACCTGTTTTGAATACTGTATGACTTTCATAGTGCAATGTCTCTACTATACAGAGTTCGATAAGTGAATCCTGACATGAAGCTCCTTATAAAGAAGGCATTCTGAACAAAAAAGAAAAAATAATTCATTTCAAAAATTTTGAAGCCAGGAGCTTGTGATTACAAGGTGGGAGGACATACAGGAAAAAAAGGATAATCCTCATGTTGTGGATTGCTGCTAGTTGTTATTTTCCAGGAGGATAATTTTATTCCCACCCTTCTGTAAATGAAAAGAACTGAGTTCCCCACAATTGAAGGCAGTTGCTGTTACATGTGGTGATAAGGAATGAAGTAAGGAATTTTTTTAAATTCCTATATGATTTGTGTTTGATTTTTTTCTCTTTTGAATTCCCTTTATTTTGCAAGAGGGGATCCATTAGTAGTACTTTTAGTAGGGTCAATAAGTAGGAAAGTCTCAGTCTTTGAATATCTAAAAATGTTTGGTTTTGCATTTACTGAGTGGCAAGTTTAGCTGGTTATAAAATGTTGTCTGACAGTTATTTTCACTCAGTACTTTAAAAGAAGTCTCTTGTCTTCTATCATCTGGTTGTTGATGAAATATCTGCTATTCTCTAATTGTTATTCCTTTGTAGGTTTTAGAATATATGTTCTGCAATTTCACGTAATATATTTGTGTTACTTGTTCTGGGAAATGCTCAGCTCTTATATTTTGCATTTGTTTATTCTAGAATTTCTATTGGATGTCTGAGTCTTACACCATTCCCTGCTGTCTTCTCACTGTTCTTTTATTTTAAAATCCGAATTCTGTGTTAACTTCTTATTAGTATCTTCCAGTCCACCAGTTTTATCTTCTGACTATATGCAGTCCAATTTTAGGCCTGTTGAGTTTTATTTCTTTCATTTCTAAATGTTCTAGTTTGTTTTTATTTACAGCTTTGTGTTCTTGTTTCATTCTACTTGGTTTTGTTTCACAATCTCCTGTTCCTTTTAAATATAAATTATTTGGCTCTTTCAGTTATCTAAACAAACCTGTTTAAAGCTTTGATAGATTAAATATAATTTTATTTTTAGTAAACTTACGTCATGTTGCTTAATTTTATTGATTGTCCTTCCTAGTGTAGATTTTTACCCACAAGAGGTTTTTGTTTTGTTTTGATCTCCTCCAGTACTGTTAGGTCCCACTTTTTGTCTTATCTTACAGTTGTGTTTGCTTGGCCATTGTGGGTTCCTGTCTGAAACTTGGGTGGGCCTTTTCCTGGGTGATAAGGAGCTTGACACCCAGTTATAATGCCCTTGTTACAAGTAAATGGATTAAGGAGGAGTTATCTCTGTAGGTATGTTATATATACTAAAGGTCTACCATTGAATTTTATAGGGAAATTTGACATATTTTGGGGTTATTTGGGCCTTTCAAATCAATGTATTAACATAATGATGAAGACTGACAGTTCATAGGTGTTCAGTATGCTTAGCTATGGTGCATTCTAATTAAAACAGTTCCTTATTGCTCTCTTTAATATTTGACCTTCTTAGAGTAAAAGCTTTTAGAACTTTACAAGAAGCTCTCAAATGTAACTATGAACACTGGCAAATCTGGGAAAACTATATCCTCACCAGCACTGATGTTGGGGAATTTTCAGAAGCAATTAAAGCTTATCACCGACTCTTGGACTTAAGAGACAAGTACAAAGATGTTCAGGTAGGATATTCATATTTCCTTATTTCAGTTTGTATTTTTTATTAATCCTTGACTATAATATATTGTTTCTTTGAATATTGTATGTGTTTTGTTAAGGATATGTAATATACAGAGAATGGTACTTCTAGCATTCCAGTGTTAAATATGTCTGCACAGCTATAAACTGAATATTACTGTAACTTAATTATGAAAATCTAGCATGTTTATATATATGTGTATATATATATATATATACTGTCATATTACAGAAGCTATATAGAATGTTCTTTGCATCAATTATTACTTTGTGTAACTCAGTGTATTCTGATTTGTAATACAGTGGTACCTTGGTTCACAAACTTTCTACAATTCTGGTCACAAATCTAATTAGATGACAACTGGATCAAATTCAATGCTTAGGTTCAATGATGACCTTATGGGAAAATTTGATTCAGTCCTCGTCCACTTCAGTTTGTGGCCAGAATCATGGAGAGAACTGAGTTTGTGAACCAAGGTACTGTAGCTGAAGTAGATTCTCAACTCATTTATTCACTCTTTTAGCAAGCATTTACTGCACACTTTCAGAGTGTAAGAACAATATAGAAATTGGGCCAGGGATTTAGCTCAGTGGTTCCACCGCCTGCCTAGGAAGCACAAGGTCTGGAGTTCAATCCCCGGTACCAAAGAAAAAGAACAATATAGAAATGATGGATAACATTTTCTTTGCAATGTTTAACAAGATAGTCCTTTTTGTGTGGTGAAATGAAGTTAATCTTTTCAGAAAACATAGGAGATCTGCAGTCATTGTGTTTTTGTTTTTGTTTTTTTGGTACCAGGGATCGAACTCGGGTCCTTGCGCTTGTGCAGCAGGCAGCGAAACCACTGAGCTAAATCCCCAGCCCGTCATTGTGTTTTTTATACAGTGGGATTAAATAAACAAGACTTCAGGTTTAATTATGATTGAAGATAATACACAGAGGATATGTAGCTTATGGATTATGAATACGTAGCACTTGAAAATTTAACACTTTAATACTTGTAAGAATCAACATATGCTATTTAAAATGATGGATTTAGAATTAAGAAAAACCAGAAAAAATATCTAATACATGATAGTGCCTCTCTATTATCTGTACCCCATTTATTCTAAAATACGGTTTATCTAGGCATGCTTTAGAGCTCTAGCTTTAGGCTTATTTATTTGGCCTTCCAAACATGGCTGTACAATTGACCATTATCTTCAGGCTCAGGATCTGTACTATTCACTTGAAGATCTGTGGCTTCAAGTAAAACCATACATCTACTTGGAAGAGCTATGTTGGCTCCTTCGATTACTTTTTTTTTTAACCTCCTCCTCCTCATCTTCCTCCTCGCTTCCTCTTCACTCTCTTCTTCCTCCTTCTCTCATATTTTCTAAATATTCTGCATTCATTATAGAGAATGAACTTGAATTTTACAGTGTAAAGATCACTTAAAATGTGAATGAAGGCAAAGCAGAGCCTAGCATCCTAAAGAAGATATGAGCTGTAGCAAATCCACTTGCACAGCCCCTCAGCAGTCTAACACTTGTCCTATTCACCTGGCTAAAATTCTCCATTAATGCAATTCTCTCTCCTTCCCATTTCTTCTCTTGGCCTAGGGCACTGATGAGGCTCAAAACAGATCTCAGTATGTTGTAGACCTCTGAGGATATTACTAATCTTTTGTGTTCTTTAAACATGATTGTCAGACTATCTTTATTAGGAAAGCTTTCTGAAACCTATTCCTGAAATCTCAGGAGGAATATAAATATATTGGCATTATATTCAATGTTACACTTGAAATTTATTCTGTGGTTTTCCTTCACATTTAAAAAAAAGTACACTTCTCATTTGATCATCCCGGCAACAATTCCAGCATTCTTTGGGATCACAAATTTAGTAGAGTCCCCCAGGGTAGGCTAGATAAGCTTATACACCAAATCAGAAGGAAGTATAAAGCTCCCCTAGTTCCTGATCAGACTGGAGAGGGAGATTCTCCACCACACCAGTCTACTTTCCTGTCCCATTGGCACTGGTGTTTGCTGCCTGGCTGTGTCATCTTTTTAATTGTCTTGGTTTTTGTTTTTTGGGGTTTTTTTGGTACTGGGGAACAAACTCAGGTCCTTGTGCTTGCGGAACCACTGAGCTAAATCCCCGGCCCTCTTTAATTGTCTTGGAATTGGCTTCCTTGGTCAGTCTGATACCATTAATCTCTGTCATGTACTTGCAATACCAAAATCATCTGTTTTTCTTTGTAATATGAGTGGGACATCTTCTCTAAATCTATACTTTAACCTATACTAGTCTTTCATATCTGTTAAGTTTTAGGTACAATTGGCTCACCAATGTGACTTTTCGGATCCTAAGAAAATCCTGATCACCTTTTCATGCTGGAACCAAAATAATTAGTTTTATATAAAGAACCATATGGCTAGGTCTAGGCCCCTCTATTCCTATAACAGATAAGACTTGTGTGGGTTGAAGTATGTAAGAATCAGTGGAAGGAGGCTTTTCTGTTTTCTCTGTCTCTTACACTTCCATGTTTCCCAAGGGACATAGAACAAGTCAGAGTAGGACATGGTAAAGTAATAATATCTAACATCTACTAAGGGTTTGCTGTATGTCAGACACTATTCTAAGCATTTTACATGTATTGACTCATTTAATTCTCACCACAGCTGTGTGGGACAGATTTGTGTTATCATAAGCTATATCTGACTCTGGAGTAAATGTGTGTGCCTCACCCACACCCCGCCCATTATTTTCTTATGAGGGAAAATAACTGTTCAAAGATTGTTTTGAAAAGGTGTTTTTTGACATCATTAAGGGTTATAAAGTCACTAATATAATGCTGGTTTTAGTTGACTGAAGTGTATAAGTATGCCAAATCTTGCTGAGAGACATGTATTCCAAACAAATGCAAAGAAATATGAAACCACTGCTGTCTTGAAAAAGATGACTTAGAATAAAATGCGTTTAGTCTGGATCATTCCTGTTGCTTGCAATTGCAGTAGTTGAAAAGGTATTAGAGAATTTTACTTAAATTTCCCTTAATTTTCACATTTGGATTTATTCGGGGAATACAACTAAGAACATAACAACTATACAGCTAACTATACTTGCTAAGGTCAAACTATCATATTTAGCACCCTTAAAGGACTTTCAGATACTCAGATGTAGAAATAGCCACAAGGTGGTAATTTGTCTGTTCATATCCTGTGTGAGCCTATCATTAGCTCCCTTTGGAAGTGTTGTGTGTCACTGTTTAGTGTCTGGCAGGTGTGTGTGGAATCACTTGATAGTGGTTAGGTCCATCGTGGACAGAAAGTCAGTGTCTAGGGATAGGCCCAGGCATGTCTAGCTTCATGGCATATGCTGTCAACACGCTTTTTGACAACTAGTCAGTGTACACAGAGACAATTGATGGATTGCCTAGAATATTTTTATCTTGGGTTAAAAAAAATTACTTAATCTGACTCTATGTGTTTTGGCAACTGTTTTTTTTTTTTTTTTAAAAAAATCTCTGGTGTTCTTATGTTTGACACTGCCTAACTCCATTCTATTTTAATTTGCTTTAAAATCATTTTTATCTATTCTTTTTCTACTTTTTATAGCTCTAGATTATTGTGGTTTTAATTTTTTCTGTTTTGAGTGCATGAGAATATATAAATTTGTACTTTAATACAAAGTAAATTTGCTGCAAATTAATTTTAATAGTATGCATAATAAAGGAAGGAGCAGATATACTAACTATATATATATATATATATATATATATTTTTTTTTTTTTTTGTACCTGGGATCGAACTCACTACCTTGTGCTTGTGAAGCAGGCAAGGCTGCATTGAGCTAAATCCCTGACCCTAACTGTATTATTTTTGTTCTTTTCTCTCCATATCCTGAATTTTGACTAATGTATAGATCAGTAAAACTTACAAATGTGTTTGTGTGAGAGCCCTTTTTAATATTCATGTCTAGATTATATACAGAACTTTTGTCTGTTGTAAAACTGATTTTTGTGTTTGTGTATAACTAGTCCTTGTTCATTTTCCCAGGTTTCTACTATTTTAAATAGTGCCATGAATACCTGTGTAGACAAATCTTTGTCTATATCTGTTATGGTTTAGATCTACAGTGTTGGGAAGTGGAGCCTAACAAGAGGGCAGACCACTGGGTGCATGAACTGGAAGGGTATTCTTGCCCCTGGCTCATGCGTCCCCTCTGTCTCTGCTTCCTGGCTACCATGACATGAGCAGTTCTCCTCTGCCATGTCCTTCCACTGGGCCATTTTTGCCTTAGAGCCAGCAGACTAGGCATGGATAGAAATCGTTACCGCAGTAAACCTCTCATCTTTAAGGTTGGTGCTGTCAGATACTGTGTCCCAGCTGTGGGAAAGCTGACTAATACAATGTCCAAGCTTCTTTGCTCAGGGTAAATACTAATGTTCATTTGTTAGCTATTTTTGTTTTTGTGGGGGTTTTTCTTATTCTTGATAAGTTGGCAATCATGGAAAAATAGTTTATTATATTATTGATATCTAATTTGCTGTTTATATGTAGGGATTAACATATATTAAGTGCTTACTATGTTTCATACGTTATCTGAGGTGGACATTAAATTGTCCTGAATTAACACTTGATTAGTGTAAGACCCAGAGATCTTATATACCTTCACCAGACGTGTGGTTAGTGGATAGAAATCACATGAAAAAATGCCTAATTTTTTTTCATTGTGTCATGAAGTCTGTGGGAAACTTATAGTGAAAAGCACATTTCTCAATCATATGTGCATGTGTAACGGGGTTTTTTAAATTGAGGTATACTTGACATATAATAAAACATACGTATTTTTAAAATTTTTATTTTATTAGTATGTTTGCAGTGCATGAAGTTTACGTTCATCTTACAGAGCAGGTATATGTACATATACATCTTGATTCTTTTTTAATCCCCTTCCATTCCCCACCTACCATGTGAGTCTAGATTTAATCTTCTGAATGTA